AATAGAATCATACTGAACAGAATGAAAGAAGAAGTGGATGACAAGCTACGTGACCAACAAGCTGGATTTCGTAAAAATAGATCTGGTACAGACCAGATAGCAACGTTGCGCATTATCATCAAACAATGTGCTGAATGGAACTCCTCCCTCTATGTAGGCTTCAAAGATTACGAGAAAGCATTTGACAGTGTTGACAGAGAGACAATATGGAAACTTCTGCGACATTATGGAGTTCCTTGTAAACTGGTAAATATCATCCGCAACTCTTATGAACACCTGACATGCAGGGTCATACATGGAGGACAACTGACGGAACCATTCGAAGTAAAAACAGGAGTTCGTCAGGGATGTCTACTGTCACCCTTTCTGTTTCTTCTTGTAATAGATTGGATAATGAAATCATCCACAGATAATAGGAGAAATGGAATACAGTGGACACCATGGTCACAGTTAGACGACCTAGACTTCGCGGATGATTTGGCACTCCTATCACATACCCGGGCACAAATGCAGGAGAAAATTAAAACTGTGGCAGAAACATCAGCACAGATAGGACTCAACATCAATATTGCAAAAACAAAGATTCTAAGAGCAAACACACCATCACATGCTTCATTAAATATAGAAGGAAAGGAAATAGAGGAAGTAGAACATTTCACCTACCTTGGCAGTATAGTGGACCAACAAGGAGGAACGGAATCGGACAAGAATAGCAAAAGCAAGAATAGGAAAGGCCAGAGTAGCATTCCTGCAATTTGGAAACATCTGGAAGACCAAGGGAATTACAACACGCACCAAAGTTTTAACAGCAATGTTAAGGCAGTGCTTCTCTATGGTTCTGAGACATGGAGGATGACCGTTACCACAACAAACAGGATCCAGACATTTGTCAACTCTTGTCTGAGACGCATCCTCCAGATTAGATGGCCCGACAAAATAAGTAACATCAATTTGTGGAAAAGAACAAACCAAGCCCCTATAGAAGAGGAAATAATGCAGAGAAGGTGGAGGTGGATAGGGCATACTCTACGCAAGCCACACAATAATATCACAAGGCAAGCCCTATCCTGGAACCCCCAAGGAAAACGTAGGAGAGGTAGGCCGAAAAACACCTGGCGGAGAGATCTAGAGGCAGACGTCAAAAGAATGGGCAAAAACTGGAAGGAGGTTGAAAGCACTGCTCAGGATAGAGGGGCCTGGAGGAATCTTGTCTGCGGCCTATGCCTCAAAAAGGGCAGCAGGCATAAGTAAGTAATGTAAGTCTATTGATTATATAGTGAAAATGCATTAATTCTTTGAAAATCTTCTCCTCTGCTCCTGGGTAATATATAAACTAAGTATATAGTTATGATGAGCAAGAGTGTCTTTTCCAAAATATTGAATTTCATGGCTTCTGGGTCAGGGGTTCTGGTGTTAGGGCGGGGCTCTTTAATTATGTAGTGAAAATGCATTTAATTCTGTTAAATAATCCTGTCTAATCCTTAGTGTTGAGCAGATAATAAAGTGCATAGTGCTTCCTTCAAAATTTTTAAAACTTTGTGGTCCCAGGGTGAGGGCCTTTGTGTTTTTTTTTTTTGGGGGGGGGGGAGGGGGTCTATTGATAATATAGTGAAAATGTGTTAATTCTTTGAAAATCTTCAACTAAGTGCAGAGTTATGATGATGAGGGTACCTCTTCCAAATTTGTGAAATTCATGACCCTGGGTCATGGGTTTTGGTGTTACGGTAGTGCTGTGTTGAATCTGTAGTCATGGTATATATAGTGAAAATGTATTATTTCTTTGAAAACCTTCTTTGCTCCTTGGCATATTAAAGGCAAATGAAGTAAAAGTTTTAATAAAAGGATGTTTTTACCAGATTTTTAAACATCTGGACCATTTGGTCAGATGTTCTGGTCCTGGCCAGGTCTCTATTAATTTGTATTCTACTGAGAGAAGTTATTCCCCTTTGCAATTCACTTTTGATAAGTAATCACTGCAAATAATGTGTTTGAAAAGTTAACAGAAAAAAATAATTGTGCAAGAAATCTTATAGTATAATACAAAAACTACTTTCATAGTTTTAATGATCAGATAGACTTGTAAATAATAGAATAATTAAACGGAGACAAAAATAACTTATTGAAATGTTCTTCAAAGACCAAGAGAGGCCAATGTGAGAGATTACAAGTTGGGGTTAAAAATAGTACGGAATTACCAATAGTTTGTTAACAGTCTGCATGGTGATAGTGATAAATTGGGGACAGATTAGAATTTAATTTTAATATGAGTTGTTACTAAATATTAGACTAATTAATTCATTGATCCTGATCATCCTATTTCTCTTGCTTTTGGGCAACAAAGCTTCATCTACCAGTTTATTTTATACTAGTATTCTATGGATCCTTAAAGTTGTTGTATTATACTCAGGTGACCGTTAAGGCCCTTGGGCCTCTTGTTAAGACTTATTGCATGACATTAAACAATGTATGGTATTTGCTTGTACCCAGGATGATCATCATGTTTGATTGTTCAGCTCTGTTGATATAAGAAATATTTTCAGAAGCGAGTGTACAATTAAATTATCCATCAATTGGGTACCTCATTAAACACTAATCAAATGTCAATCAATTGATGAGTCGAGTGAAAAGCTAACGGTGACTGAACAGTTTTTGTGCGGTGTACAAACCCCGAACACTTTATTTCAATTTCCACGTTAATTTCGATGCGGACAGCGAATAAAAAAAAGAAAAAAAACTCAAACAAATCAAGGAGGAAAGTTAAATCAAGAAAGAGAAAAAAACTTTACACATATCTTTGTGAACAAATATCTCGTTTATGATAATGTTTTGAAGATTTCATGAGAGGAAAAATCAGTGTTCAAACTTTGATTCGATTTGTCTAAAATGAGACTCTGATGAGAAGCCATATATTTTGTACTTAACGTATATGAAGCATAATAATGAAATTAAAGTAATGAAATTTAAGTGTGAAATAAAAGTCAATTTGTCTATTTCATATAGTGAGTTTATTTTTACATTTTTGAAAGGAATGCGTAATAGAGACTTCCATAAGCTTGAACTCCAGGTCATCGCCAAAAGTAATAGCTAGGCATAGATACATGTAAGCCGGAATGATTTTAAATTTTTGTCTTGCTCTTATCTTGTAACCAATGACTGCGTTACCATTATAATCTTGTTAAAAAACTGATTTAAAAAACCGCCTTTTGAGTGTAGTTATGTAAACACGGTGCAATGATTTTATTGTGCAACCTACTTAGTTTATTTCCTTTAAAAGGTTCAAATTACACAAAAGGTTTTCCCACCTTTCTGTTTGTATGAGAGATATGTGAATTGTTTAAGAAGTATTGTGCGAACTGTGGATTTGATTATCCCTCCTCTGTGACTTCTCACACTAGGTATATATTTAATGTAATTTTTAAATCAGTTTTCAAAAATAAGGGTTTACTCGTATTGCAGAAATACTCCTCATGCCGAAAATGAACGTATACTTTGCTTTGAAGTTATGTGTTGATAGATGCAGTCGTATTACTTGTGTTACACAAGATACCCATGCATTACATACATATGTTCACCTGAGGTACCGGTAGATTATTCATGCTCCTCCGCTATCTTTTCTTATGAAAAACTCATTCTTTGCAAAACCTCCGGTCTCTTCACTGTGAAAGCTATAAAGCTTTGGAGCCCTGGTAATACATTGATGAAATATGGAGATAACGAACAGTATTTAAGCTCATAGTCCATTAAAACAATACAAATCGGGAGCAGAGCAAACACAGACCTCAAAAACATAAGAGGTGGGATCAGGTGCCATGGAGGAGTGAACATTCCCTGCCGACCGGTCACACCCGCCCTGTGCTCTTTGTCATGATCTGGAAATAACGGAAAAGTCCGTCGACAATTTAGTGTGTAAATTATTGTATCGACGATAGAACTTACGAAATGATGACTTTAAGCGAGACTGTTGATATTCTTGTTTCATCAACTTGTTTGTCAATAACTTGCCTCGTTTTAGAAATTGAACATACGTAGAGCATGCTCTTCCGTAACGAATCAACTGAGAGATATACACCCAATATGCACGTGATAAGGTTATATTGATATTTCTTATTTCTTCTTTGACATAAAGTAACTCTATTGTTTTCAGGAGAATAAAGTTCATATATACTAATCTTAACTTCTAACCCGCCAGTCTAATGAACATTACATGTAGAAGTGTAGTCTTGCATCATGCAATGTTACTGACAGATCTAAGATTGTTTCAAAACAATTTGCGTGAAACTTTCATTTTATCAATATGATTTATTTTAACATTGTAATTGATTTTGTTGAATAACTGATAAAATTAATGGAAGAGACTTATTCCACAATGACCATGATAACCACAAATAATTTTTCGACGCCTGTGAATCCAAATAATTCATCATGTAACGATCTTGAGGAGCAGTGGTTACCTGGCGTCTTGACGATTCAAGTCAGCATCAGTTTCGGTCTCTTGAAACTTCCAATCCAACACATTGACACCATTATGATAACGTACATTTTTCTAGAAATCTAGGAATTTTTTATGTGTGAATAAATGCAAAAAAAAATTGAAATCAAAAACTTCTCATGGTAACAAAATAACGATAAGAGCATAAAATATTGCAGAAATTGACCTTTTTTTATGCCGCAACCATCTTGTATCATAGCAATGGCTCTCTCGCGCTCCTTTGAGAATTACCTCTTGTTGGTTAATTAACTTCTTGGTTATGGGACTGGATATAATTTTTCTAAATTCTATAACTGGGTAGTCAATATTACCTTGTAATATACATTGCGGGCCCTGTTTGGAGTCCTATGATATAAATTCCAAACGGTGTTTAGAATGTCATTTTTGCTATAAGGTATAGCAAAATCAAGTTTATTATATGTCTTAGTTACGGAAGCGTCAACTCATGTACATTTAATTTAATCATTATGTAGCAATATATACATAGAGGTCACGTTCATTTTGCAGGAAAATGCGTTTCTTTCTGCATATATTTCTTCTTTTCCCGATGACAAATTCATATGGTTGGTGGAAAAGCCCTGAGGATGGACCTACATGCAAAAGTGGTACATGTGGAGAATCGGATGCAACATGTGAATGTTCTTTTACCATAGAACACGGGTTGACAATGATGACCTCGTATCCCGATCCATTCTTGGTATGGCCAAAACAAGGGTCTCTATACCGTTATGATGACAAAAGGGGTTTAAATCCATTATCTGAGAACATTACACAAAACGTTATCACAGCTGATGGATATGGTTCACGTCTTGTTATTCTTATTAATGGGAAATTCCCGGGTCCTTTACTGGAAGCATATGAAAATCAGAAGATGATTATCCATGTCCGTAACTTAATGCACACAGATTCAATGACAATTCACTGGCATGGGCTACATCAGCGAGAAACAGCACATAACGACGGTGTGGGGTTCGTTACACAGTGTCCTATACCACCAGGACAACGCTTCACGTATACGTTTAAAGCCTACCCACATGGTTCCTTCTTCTATCATGCTCATCTTGGAGATCAAAGAAGTATGGGTCTTTATGGCGGCTTTGTTATTTACCAACAAGAAACTTTGTCTCAGCCACAAAGAGGTTTTTCCCTTCTTTTGCAAGACTGGAACCATAGTGATGATCCGGAAGCAATATATCAACGAATGTTAAAAGGAGTTTACGACCTCACAAGTCGTACAAAGATAGACACCACACAAGCAGTCGATAGTGCAAATTTTAGTCGATTTCATTTTCATTCTGGAATTTTCAATGGAAAGGGTCGGTTTTACAGCACATTAACATTAAATAATGGAGCCCCTTTGGAAACATTTCAGGTGGAACCAAATGAACTTTATCGCTTTCGAATAATTAGCGCTGCCACATTATACCCTTTTCGAGTTTTCGTTGAAGGACATCCAGAAATGAATATAATAGCTTCAGATGGATATGAAATCCAACGAGGGTACGGTAAAAATTCAAGTGATTTATTAGTAGAATCGTTCATAATCCATCCAGGAGAACGATTTGACTTTATCTTGAAAACAGATAAAACTCCAAAAGCCTACTTGTTAGTAGCAGAAAGTATTGAAGTTATTCCTTCATACCTAAATCAGTATCGTGCAGCTGAGGCCATCATTCAATATAAAAAATCACCCTCAGTATATCCATCTAAAGCTACCCCCAATCCTTGTTCAAAGGAAAAACCATGTGTAACATTTAATTGTCCTTATCTTTATTATTCTTCTGAAACCAACAGAAAATGTCTCACGTATGATGATGCCTTTGGCAATGAAACAACGTCACAATTTGATGAAGTTCAAAATGTAGATGAAACATTGTTCTTCAATTTTGCATTTCCGGGAGAGTCTGGCAATACACCTGGTTCCGTAAATGGACATCAGTTTGAGGTTCCCGAATTTCCTCTTCTTTCAGATCAGAGGATATCATCGGACTGCGATCTTTCAATTTGCACTGATGATTCTATATGCACATGTACATATACTGTGGAACTTGTCCAACATAACATTTACCAGTTTGTTCTTACAAATATTGGAAAAGGGCAAGGTTGGTCCCATCCAGTTCATCTCCATGGACATTACTTTTATGTGTTAAAAATGGGATTTGGTACATACAATAACATCACGGGAAAGTTCATTACACAAACAGATGATATTGCATGTTTCGGTACTAGAAACTATTGCAATTCAGCCAAATGGAAAAACGATTCTTGGAACAAAAATGCATCTTCTATAACAAATTTAAAAACGAGATATCCACCAAAGAAGGACACGATTATCGTCCCAACAGGTGGATATGTTGTGATTCGATTTAAAGCCGATAACCCCGGTGCTTGGTTTTTTCATTGCCATATTGATCTTCACAATACAAATGGAATGGCAATGGTTCTTATGGAAGCAAAAAAAAATTTCCCGCCGGAGCCTGACAATTTCCAGTCATGTTGGCATGTACAGGGCAGTACATCTAACACTAATGATAAAGGTAAAGTTGTTTTTAATTTGATTGCATGTCGCTCTTAAAAGGTAGATAAATCCCGTTTTATATTTATTAAGAAAAGGAACAGTTTGCCAAATTTTATTAACTTTTAATAGACGGCATATTTTCCTAATACGGCCTAAAATAAATTTATGAACAATTTTTCAAAATCATAATTCATAATTTAATGTTATGGGTCTGGGAAATAAATGTGAAGAAAAAAAATCATAATTCAGATCCTCTTTTTCTTTTTTTATTTTTTGTAAAGAAAAAGCAATGCATTTGAATTATGAATATGAATAATTGCTTACAAGCAATTGATTATCCAAAAAAAAAAATGGATTTTGAAAGATTGGATTAAAATTTTTGAAGCTTCATCTAGATTTGCTTACCTCTAAAAAGGGGGTCAAACATTTTAAATACGTAGTATAAATCAGTAATTCCGGAATGCGATGCTTTTTTCCCCTCTTTTATTCAGGTATATAAAAAAAATTATCGACTTCCTGTAGCTTGTCTCCATTGGTTCTCTTTTCAACAATTATAAGTAGTGTAATTTCAATTTTGAATCTTCTGTATACAAAGCAGGGACTTAGGCAATGTTTTAATTTGTGATATTTTGTACACTCTGCTGACGGAATATGTCCAAAATAATAAAACAATGATATTTTAGCAAAGAATAGAGTATAAAAGTCGTACTTTAAGGTAGACAACCTAATATTTTCATTAATTATTGCAAAGCTTTCAAAAGGATGTTTAAGATTGATAGCTCTAGCTAAGTCAAGAAAAGTTCACACTAGAATGACGATATTCAAAACTATGGCACTCTTATCTTAGCTACGGTGGGCTTGTGTTTGTCATCAGTAGAAACCACTATTATAGGTAAACCGGTGACTAAAGCTTTATATGCATTATTTCGGCATTTTTGAATACTTTAATTTATAGGGTACTATTAAACAAAATACAAGCACAGATACATGTAGCATTAACAGTTTTCATAAATAGGACATCCAAGTATATTTTTAAATGATACCAAAAAGGCATGATATAGATTTGATTAAATTGAAATTGAAGATAGTAAATCAATTATGAGTCAAATATGAATTTGATAGATTTAACACTCGTCAAATTAAAAAAAATAAATGGTTGGTGTAAAACTAACACGTGTTAACATAAGCAGTTATACATACCGATAAAATTGTCTATTTTAAATGTCTTGATCACCTGTAATATTGTTTCTATCGAAATCTAAAATAAAACTCTTGTTTTACAGGTATCGATGGTTGGATGATAGTAGCCATAATTGCGATTGTTGCCGTTTTAATACTAGTTCCTATCGTGATTTACCTAGTAAAACCTAGATTTAAGAATCCATATGAGCAAATCGACTAAAATGCATTCAAAACAAACTTTCTCCAAAGCTTATCAGTTATGTATGCGAATGCCTTACTAGTATTTTTTCACGAGACGTATATTCCATACATTTAAAGACACTGTTTGATCGATTTTGAAGAAGATTTCACTTAAATAGATGCTTGTAATAATTTCCATTTTTCACTTGTCTTCAATGGTTTTCAATAAAATGTTTTGATAAATTTGTTGGTAAAAAAGAGTTAAGATGTGTCTTTTTGGTTTTTTAAGTTTCTGTAGCAAGCTATCAGATGTGCTCTCTGAATGACATTAAAGATCAATATCAGTAATAATCTCCAGTAAAAAAGATTTATTTCATTTTGAAAATTTATTTTCTTTTCTTTTTCAAAAATTGAAAAAAAAAAAAATATTTATATCACAGACTGCCAATGTCATCAATTGAAATATACAATCAATACACCTAAGCAGATAGCATGCTTTTTACCAACTTTTTGTATTAAATGTAAATAAATGTTTGCATCAATTATTTTTTAAACCAATTTATAACAAAACCTTCTTCCATTTCTGATATATATGTAGTATTCTCTGTAATTGTGTATGTTTTGATTAATTTACGAAGGTTTTTTTGTTTGTTTGTTTGTTTAACGTCCCCTGTAGAATTTTCACTCATATTGAGATGCCACCGTTTGCAGGTAGAGTATACAAATTTAGATCTGTACTCGGCATTAAAGGCCTTAAAGCAGTGAGAGATCTTTTTAGCGCCAGCACCTACTGTGACACGGGACTTCGCCTTAAACGGTCTTATCCGAAGAACCAGTCTCCACGTCCCGGCCAGAGTGGGATTGGAACCTGCGACGTAAGGATCAACCTTACTTTGATCCGCGACTCTAAAGAAGGTTTATAAACCTTGCCATAAATCCTTTCTGGACAATTGAAGACAAGAATAAAAGATCTCTATCTTCTTGAAACCTAAATGATAATGAGAGAATGATGCATATTAAATTAATTATGATCATAATGCCATAAAAAATTAACGATGAAGGTGATTTTTATTGTTTCCCTCTTCAGAAAACATTTATCAACAGGATGGAAAAACCGTATTATTAAATGTTTATAGATATGCACTACAGATAGATGATGTTTCCAAGTCCAAACAGTGATCATCCAATTTAGATACATGTATTAAGCAGATTAACCGTATGTTGACCATATAACGGGAATATTTGTCTCCTTTCAAAATCCTGGTATACGTTTTAAAAAAAGAATTCCGATTAAAATCACACTCTACTTTTGCAATTAAATTGCGAGATTAATGTGAATAAGAAAAACTCAATTATTTTAATTTTTATTTAGTGTACTCTTAAAATTGTACGGTTTGCGAGAGTTTAGAACTATATAATTTATAAGACCTAGTCGTAAATTCTTTTGTAAAACCGGGCGCTAGAATGTCTGGTATATTCATGTTATTTTATAACATATTTATACATGCTCAGGAAGAAATTTTGAAATTTCTATAGATTTTATAATCTATATAATCAATCAGGCAATATATTTAAAATGACCACAAGAAATTGTAAAATCCTTGTCCACTATAGTAATTTGCTACAATTTATTAACAAGAAGAAGAGAAGAATGCAAGTCCATGAAAAAGTTTCATCTATACATGAATCTATACACAGGGAAATATCCTCGCTCGATTATGCCAGAATACTTTTCTTTTCTTTTGTTTAAGGTCAATTTGTACCAAACATGATCAACGTCACTTTTCGACTGACTTTTTACACCCTGACTACAAATCGAATCGACAATAACTGAGCATCTTTCATCTCTCTGAATCTTTTTTGGGCATTTAAAAACAAGTACTCTGGATGCATTTTCTTTTTCGGTAGCCCGTTTAAATATTCCCTAGGTCTATTCCAGTTTTTCCAGGTGCGAAACTTTATAGAATGTAGGAAAAAGAAACCTCTTCCCCCTTTTGACGTCATTTTCAAGCCCTTAATTTTTTGAACACTCCATATAAAATTTACGATAAAATTTCATAGAACTTAAAAGAATGGGGTAAAAATTGCAAATTTTACGGAACAATTGTGTTGTACCACATGCCTGGATTAACTGGATTTTTTGACGACAAATGCTCATATCAAAAGAGTATATCTCAGTTACAGTCAGGTAGAAAAAACGTCATATTTGAGGTTGCGCCGCCTGGACATACCATTGCTTACAAAAAACATTAACAATTTATTAAAAAAATAAAAATTATGATTTATGGTTAATTCTATAGATAGAAAAGATGATGCTAACTAAATGTGTTAAAATCCATTGATGCACCTAAAGCGGTTTTAACTTTATGGCGCTAGTCCACGAACTTTTTGATAACCCCTCGTATTTTATATGTAAAAAAATTTCCAAAAAAAAAAAAAAAACGTTTGTCTTGTGTTATTACTTTGAATCAATAAGTATACTGTAAGAAAAATGGGGGGGGGGGGGTCTTTAGCATAACGAGGATGTCTGACACTCCAGAAAGATATTTAGGTGCAATCACCTAAATATATGTAGAGTTATGAAAATTCCAGACATTTGATGTCCAACTCTCTAAGGTATTTAGAAAGCAAAATGATTTGTGCATCTTTTTATAAAAACTATCCAATGAAGGATCTCGTTTGTTTATATAGTATTCTGGGCGGATTTAGTAAATCACTAAAGGCGTAGTATACAAATCTGACGTCACGATTGATATCTTCTTCAAACCGGAAACAGTGAGCATCAATCATAAAGTGTAAGAAACTAAATTATTCATTTAAAGTATATAAATCTAGTGCCAGTGCTTCTGAGTGGTGTAATTTAGTATAAAACAATAATGATACGGAGGTAAGTTGTGTTCATATTCATGACATACAAATGTTAAAATAAATAAATCAACATAACTGCATGTCAGTGTAAACAAAACATGACGGATACCATTTTCGATCACGTGTAATCCATTAAAAATGTGCACGTATCTTACAGAAAAATTCAAGCAGAAAGACACAATGGAAGTTCAATATATTTGAAAAAAAAATTCGTAAACTCCACGATGATGCAGTTTTAAAAATAATACGGCATATAACGACAGGAGACAGCTGTGACTCGACTAGCAAGTTAACAGAAGAGTTCGTCTTCGAACGGTAAGGGGTTTTAAAATCATTTTTAAAATGCAATCTAGATAGTACTCACTTTCCAATTCATCTCTATTACAATAAATATCGAGTATACATCAATAAATTTAACAATTAATTAAACACGTATATGAAGGTCATTCAAAAAATAGGTAGACGATGTCCTCTTCATCATGAAAAGGTTGAAGATAACGAACAGCGATCGATCTAATAAAAAAATCCACAAATAATACAAATATGTAAACATGGCATAAAATAAGAACCCCGGAAATTCCAGATGTGGGATCAGGTGATTAGAAGTAAGGATCCCCTGTTCACTGATCACAAATTATTTTTACAAAATTTAAGATCAACTTAATTTCATTAGTAAACATTTATTTTGTCTATGTGTGAAGTTTTATTCCATTTGATTAGAGGAACTCATGTTATTTAACTTTAAAATCAACATGTTTTGTCACAACGAAACACGCTTTACAACATTGAAATGTCAAAAGGAAAGTTTCTCAAAATTACCGCTTTTCGGTTCAAATACAGTCTGTAGCTCCTTGCCCACTCATAAAAACGTATTATAAATAACACTTGACACATAGTTTGCAAAGAATTGATCGAGTAGCTTAGTTAGTTTGTCAGAGTTTTCAACTTCCTTACCGCGTAACTCAGCTTTCACAAGCTCCGCAACAGTAAATGCACATTACTTTTCATGACGTTCCTTACTTCAATGAAATATGAAGAGGACAAACAGTATTCAAGGTCAAGTCCATTGGAACGATACTAACTGGAAGCAAAGCAAACACAGACCTCTTCAAACATCAGAGGTGGGATCAGGTGCGGTGAAGGAGTGCACCTTGTCATGATCGGGCAAACAGAAAAAATCCGCACACAATGCAGTGTGAAAATAATGCTCTATCAATTTGTATGAAATACGTCAGTCAACATTCGAATAAATGATGGATTGTATTTATTGACAAGGTCATTGTATCGACCAAGAATTTGGGAAATGTTGACTTTCATCGGGACTGTTGATATTCTTGTTTCATCAACTATTTGTCGATATCTTGCTTCGTTTTAGAAATTGTTTGTACGTAGAGCATGCACTTGCGTATCGAATCAACTGGGAGACACAACTCCATATGAAGGTGATAATGATATATTGTGACCGGTCGGCAGGGGATGCTCACTCCTCCATGGCACCTGATCCCACCTCTGATGTTTGGAGGTCCGTGTTTGCTCTGCTCCTATTTTGTATTGATTATGGACTTTTGAGCTTGAATACTATTCGTTATCTCCATATATTTCATTGCTACATAAAAAGGGAACTTGACGATAGGAAAGTTGAAGTCATCACGTTTATCAAAAAGTTTTGCTGTTAAGTTGCCATAATAATTAATGTTTTTTTTAAGTAAATTATCCAAATATGAAACAGATGTTTCATTCTGTGGTATTTTTTATTTGGAAGTCAAAAAGAATATATCAAAATAACGTAGGAATGAAAACGAATATTGATAATTGATATAACGTCGTCGATATCTCTAACTGAGAGCTGCAGCAAGAGACTTCTTCTTTTCAAGTAGAAGTTCTAGAATAAATACTGCTTTATGAAATATAGAGCTAACGAACAGTAATCAAGCTCAAAAGTCCATAGAAACAAAAAAAAAAAAATGGAAACACAGCAAACACGGATCTCTTAAATCATCAGAGGCGGGATCAGGTGCCATGGAGGAGTAAGCATCCCCTGTTGACCGGTAACACCTGCCCTATATTCCATGTCATGATCGGGCAAACAGAAAAATCTGTACAACAATTGAGTGTGTAAAAATGACTTAACAATTTGTATGAAAAAAGTCAGTCAGCATTCGACTTCATGATAAACTGTATTTGCTGACAAGTTCATTATATCGACCATAGAATTCGCAAAATGTTTACTTTCAACGAGACTGTTGATATCCTGTCTGCCAATAGTTTGCCTCGTTTTAGAAATAATCCACATGTAAAAGAAGCTCTTGCGTATCGATTCATTACAAAAATAGGTCTACTAGTAACGGGGCGCAACTG